GTTGAACGATGTAGCAGCTCTCTTGACTTTATTGCTGCTAGTATGGCACAAACGAAGCTGGTTATTTGTTTGCATGCACCAAGTGGTCAAGGTACGCTTTCCGGATATATCTTCGTCGTAGTTCCCACGAAGCATAAAAGGTATACAGGCGCACTGACATAGTTCTTATGAAGGGAACAAACGTTGATCTTTACTGGGTCTTCGCTTTTGTTCTTGCTGCTAGCACACGAAATCTGACGTGCTATTCTGGTTGTAACAGGAATTGCTTCATTCCACATCGTACAAAGAAGCGAGCAGCTGTTCCGTTCGTGTTACGAAGTGCACGAAGCTCGACGCACTTTATTTGTTTGGAATAAGGTGGAGGGAGACCAGTTCGAACCACCAGTTTTCAAAGCTGTGATTAGGAGCTCGTTGAGTTCTCGCCGCTGATCAGGGACTCAAACGCCTTCTTGTGCTGCTTGTGATGAAAGGACGATTTCTGGTGAATGAAGCCACCACCGACTACGCAAAAACCATCGAGGATTCCAGCGCCATTGTTAGTTGTCAGTTGGGTAGAAGACTGGGGCGGATCCGGGGGGGGGGGGGGGGNNTATATATATATATGTATGTAATGTGTATGTACGTGTATGATGTATTCTGCCTCCACAAACCGCACTTCTTCTCAAGAGTGCATGGGAAGTATCTTCGTAGCTACTACTACGTAGTGATAACGCTGATGTGTGTATGGCTGCAGCTGCTAATGTTGATGGCGGCGTTCTCCTATTTCAGTTGCACATTTTGCGTAGTGGAAACTATGGCAGTTGATCTTCACACTGTCAAGTCTGTCACACAGGATTCAAGGCTCATGTCATGTGGATTGCGTAGGGATTCGGATTCGGGTACCGCAGCTCATGGATGGTAGGACCTGTTAGGAACTGTGGACAGGCATTTCAGAGAAATCGTCTCTTCAAAGTCGACAGAGATGCGTTTCAAACTCATCCCCCCCCAACCCCCCACCCCCCACCCCCCCATTTTCCAGAGGCCCGACAACAAACCGGCCTGGCTTTGCCCTGCTGCAGCGGTAGATCGAAGGGATCGGCCTCCGTCTGCCTCGGCTATAGCATGAAACTTTGGACTCACTGGCGGTTCTTTGGCTGTCTCTGTCTCCGAGCCACCACCACACCACAAAAACATGAATGCGCCGCACAGTTTCTCGCGGGCCTGCATTTCGTCCGCGCATCTTCAAGTGCAGACCACATCGACACGGACAACAATATCGTATTATATCTTCCTTTCTCTGTACCAGCTTCTCCTTATTTGTTCTCACGCACTCACTAATTACCACTCACTCTGTCTCTGTCTGTGTCTCTGTGTCTGTCTGACACACGGCACACAGCAAGTCCCGTCGCCGCGACGGCCGCCCGTCTCGGCATGTGAAGACTGAAAGCTTGTGCATTCCTTGAAGAAGGCTAAAGCTATCATAGGTCTACGATAGCTTACGATCGCATCTACCTTCTTCGACACGCCCACACACACACTCATTCCACATCGCTCTCTCTCTCTCTCTCTTTCTCTGTCTCTCGCTCTTGCTCCCTCTCTGGAACGGTCCTGCCCCTCCCCGGGCGCTCGTCACGCCTACATTCTGCAGGTGTGAAGGAGACTTGTGAATATCGGACTCACATCCACAATCTGCTGGGAGGCCGGCGAAGGCGATGTGGTGCGTTCTGGCTGTCGCCTTCGAGCGTCAGCGATGCTCGAGCAGAGACGAGCATGTGAGGACATTTTCATAATGCCAAGCAGGCTGCCTGAACACCATGCTACTAAGAGCCTGGCTGTACGGATGCAGGCGCAAGGCTGTGAACGGCCCTTGGCCGGTGCAATGTAAGCAGACTCTACGAAATGCAGCTTCGCCTGCTCCCTCTGGGCCAGCGAAGGTCTGAACTAAGTTTCAAGGCAAGTCTGCGACAGTAGCGGCTCAATCCCCAGCACACAATCCGCTGGGAGAACGACTCCGGCGATACAGTGCAAGCAGCGTCTAGCCTTCCAAATATCACCGCAGATCGGCCGAATGTGGGGTAAGGAAAGACGACCACAGGCCAAAATGTTTCGCTTCGCAACAGCCTGCCTGGGACTCTCTGGCTGCACTCTCCGAGAACGGGGGAGATCATCTTCCTTGTGCCTTGCGTGCTGGCAGGACTAGCTTCTGCCACAGGCTCAGTTCATGTCCCGACAGATCCGATTTGAGATCCTGGCTGCACAGATCCAGGCTCAAGGCTGTGAACGCCCCTTGGTTTGAGTATAGCTTTGTGACGTCATCACAAAGGCATCTTTTTCACGTCGCGCACCCTGCCCTAGCAGATGACATCGCACACATCCCGTGACAGCTGCATGCACCCATCAACATCCACTTGCATATGTATACATATATGAAAACCCGTTTAAATTTCCACTCCCACCGGCGATTCCGACCTTTTGTGCGGGCTCGGGATTCAAGCCCTGCTTTCGCGTAGCTTTAACCGCTCAACCGAGGACGAAAGACCACAAACACAACACAGATCCGCAGGGAAGTGACGGCAAACTTCTAAACTCAACACCATTACATTCGCAAGTTTAGTGTCTGCGTCAAACGAACAGTAAATTTCGAACAGTAAATTTCGGCAATAGCACCTATTGGCGAGTCGTAGCAACTCGTGACCCACCGTTAAAATTGTAGGCATCGGTATGTTTTCTGGAATGGCAATAGTCATTGCCTACAAGCCTGTCCAATCCTCCCCTTCCCATTCTCAGTCATACTTAAGTTACCAAGACATATTTTTATTCAAAAATGATCGTATCACGTGTGATCAGTGTAGTTATACCTCTAGACTTACCAATGTCTTAGTTACCATTACGATTACCACTGTTGCCGTTGTTAGAGTTGCCGTTCTGCTTCCTTCAACAGTACAAACCCAGTGAACAAGCCACTTGGCATCGCGCAAACTTTGGGGTTTTAGGCTGCAGGCTGCAGGGACAGAGACACTCCGGAACTGCCACGACCGCAAGTTCCGTGCCCTTGTGACACTGAATGTGTGCATGCGTACATGCATACTCATCTCACGGTTAAGACTTCGCCTTCACTGCTTGCCTTACCTTGCAGTACGCTAGCTTATGTAACAGTGCAATACATTACGCTACAGTACATCAAAATATATTAATTACAGTATCAATGCATTGCATTACATTACATTGCAATACTATACATTACAGCACAGTACATCTCATTACGTTATACACAATACGTCATTTCATGGCGTCGCATTACATTGCATTACACACATTTACATCGGCGGCATGATTGAAAACAAATCCCACCGGAAGGCTTCTGGCGGGTGTGGGACCGGGCCGCGCGCCTCTGGGAATCAACGGCGATTGGGCCATCTCTAATTCTGCAAGATGCCGGAATGGCCGTTAATCCCCCGCTTAGTGTTTCGGAGCCTGAGCCTTGAAAACTGGATTTTGTTTCGGAGCTGTGATTGCTCACCAAACGAACCTCCGCTGCAAGCATGGCTTTCATGAGGCACAACGGAGGTTTGTTTGGTGAAACATCCCTCGAACATATACGGCTACTGGAGCGTTGTTGAGTGCATGAAACCCACAGAAACGCAAACGCACAAACATGTTCGAAATGTCTACCCAGATTACACATAACATCACGTTACGCAATGCATTGCATTGCATTATACTGCATCACAGTACATGACGTAAGTTACCGTTCATTACCTTGCAATGCGTTACATTACATCACACTACAGTGCATTGCCCTTCATGGCACTAGACTACACTACATTACTCCACACAATGCACACTGCAGACTGAACACCACACACTGCACGCTACACATCAACGACTATCCACACACTAAACATTACACACTTAACACTATACTCACTATATGCTGTACATTTTACATTACACAGGCATTTTTCATTACACAGGCTATGCCTTACTGTTGCGCATATGTAATTACAATATGCACATAACTACCATACATACACACATACATACATACATACATACATACATACATACATACATACATACATACATACATATATATACATATATATATATATAATAACGACCACAGTTACCAGTAGTCAGGAATCTCGAAGCCCTAGTGCCCAAATGCCATGGCCCAGATGGGAAGTGCTGGCACGCCATGACAACAAGAGGTTCCACAAAAGTGCCGAGTTCAGCTAGGACCTCCTAGAGAAGAAGATCCAGTTGTTTGCCTTGATCCTCAAGAAGTTCTTCGACAGAGAGAAAGATGACTACAAGAAGGATGCCGACCAGAGGAATCGTGACGACGAAAGCTGAAAAGTTCTGCTACAACGTCAGCCTGAAACGACGGCGCCGTGGACATTGACCGCGATACCGACCGCAATTGCATGTCCACCCGAGCTCGCTGTCAAGAGGCCAAAGGCAAGAACATCGCCCCCGCCGTGGACCTGTGCAGATTTTTGAAGGACACTGCTGAGACCATCCACATCGACGAGGCCAAAAGCGCTTCCACAGTTCCGGCCGGGCTGAAAACCGACACCGACAAGGCCCGGAAGAAGAACGCGGCCGACGACTCCAAGATGTGGTTCCTCCGACGAGCGTTGAACGAGCGCGTTCCCTGCAAGATGGACTCTGTGGAGTGGGTGATCGAGGACGCCACCGCGGACAACTCCGAGACTGAGCAAATCGAAAGACGCCGGAGGAGCTCCTGAAAACGGCGACCGAGGTCACCAAGTCTTACAACGTGGTCCGCAAGGCCAACGAGCAGAAGGTCCAGGACCCGAAAGTTTTGGCCTGCTCCCAAAAGAGTGAGGCCGGCAAGACGAAAATAGACATCGTCAAGGAGATCTTCAAGGTGACGCCAAGTACTGGGACACTTTGGGCGGCCAACCTGGCCCCTCGCCAAGTTCGAGGAGGGCGACTTAACACCCAGCTGGTGTCAGAGAGGGTCTACCAGTCCGAAGCCATCGACACCTTCGACAACAAGTATCTCCATTGTGTCCACGAAACCGTGAGGGAGGCCGAGAAAGTCGTCGTCAAGTGGAAAATATCAGTTAAAAATGCTGAGCGATTGCCCGTGAATAGTTTGTACTACTAATGCACCGTAGCTATGCTTGCAGCGCTATGAGCATAATTTGAGTCCTTACGGCACGACCTGTGCATATCTTCAGTGCCTTAATGTTCTTGTTTGGACAGTTGCTTCCAATTCGCTTGGCCCAGAGGGGGCACATAGGGGTGCCTGATCACTTCTGGCTTTTTTTGGGGGTCACTTGTGTCTTATTTTTTGGGGTCGCTTGTGTCTTTTAATCTGGTGTGACTGGTGCCGCTTCTGTCTTTTTCCTGGTTCGGAAGCAACAATCTCGAACGAGAGATGCCTTGGTAGGACCTCCGCCCGCTCCGTTTCAGCCCGGTAAATGCACCTGTGAACAACTTTAAATGTCGGAAACAAACAAACAAATACCATCTCCTTTTGGGAGCTGGGCCTTCTTTCATTAGGGCTTCGGTCTGGGCTTAATACTTTTAGGGCTTCGGCCTGGGTTTACAATTTTTAAAGTTTCGGCTTTCTTGCAAGTTTACCTTTCACTTATTTAGGGGTCGGTTTACCCCGCGTAGGTTTTAAGGTTGCGGCTTGGGCCTTTTCCTTATTAGGGTATCGTTCTGGGTTTACTCCTTTTAGGGCTTCGCTCTGGGTTTACTCCTTTACGCTGTCGGCCTGGGTTTACTCCTTTTAGGCTTTCGGCTTTCTTGCAAGCTTACCTGTCACTTTTTGTAGTGTTTCGAGGTCGGTTTATGCCGTTTAGGTTTCGAATCGAGTTCACTCCTTTTAGGGCTTTGGCCTGGGTTTACTCCTTTTAGGGTTTCGGGGTCCGTATACGTTTTTTACGGTTTCGGACTTCTTTCATTGTGGTCTCGTTCTAGGTTTACCCCTTTTAGGGCTTCGCTCTGGGACTACTCCTTTTAGGGCTTCGGCCTGGGTCTATTGGTTTTGGGATTTCGGCTTTCTTGCAAGCTTACCTTTCACTTCCTTTAGGGTTTCGGGGTCGGTTTATTCCGTTTAGGTTTTAGGGCTTGGGCCTGGGTCTTGGGTTTCGGTCTGGGTTTAATCCTTTTCGGGCTTCGGCGTGGGTTTACTCCTTTTAGGGCTTCGGGGGTCCGTTAACCCCCTTTAGGTGTGAGGCCTCCTTTAATTAAGGATTGGACCTTCTTTCAATAGGGTTTCGGCCGATGGGCTTACTCCTTTTAGGGTTTCGGGATCTGTTTACTCCTTTCAAGGCTTGCGCCCTCTTTCATGAGGGTTTCGTTTTGGCTTTACTCCTTATGGGGCTTCGCTCTGGGTTTACTCCTGTTAAGGCTTCGGCCTGGGTTTACTGCTTTTAAGGTTTCGGCTTTCTTGCAAGTTTACCTTTCACTTATTTTCGGGTTTCAGGGTCGGTTTATTCCGTTTAGGTTTTAGGGCTTGGACCTGGTCCTTTTTCCTTGTTAGGGTTTCGTTCTGGGTTTAC